ATCCTAACTTCCCTTACCTTACAAGAAACAAATCTAACTCAAAGAATGTTCCGCATATTACTTGAACCGCAAGAAATACCTAGGCAAACCTACGAAACACCAAATTACAAACGGATAAAGTCCTTAGAACTCTAAATGAACCAAGAATGTGTAGGAGAGCCATGATTACACATGCAACAGTACAATATTCCTCTAAAACAAATTTGGGAACGGAAGGAGAAAAAAGAGTTGAAACTTACTTGCTTTATTGCAGAAACTGATCGGATAGAAACGTAGACCTCGTTGCCGTGATCGATTAGGTACCTCCTGATCGTCAAAGAAATGACCTATGAGTTATAACTCTTAGAGAGAAGGTAGAAAACTCTAGAAAATGATTTCTATTATAACAAAACTATTTATAATAAAACCATTTAATATTAAAATAATTGAATTTCACTTTTTTTTTAGATTACTATCACTTCTAAAATAACAATTTTATGATATTCTACATTTAGATTTTGGAATGTAGATATATTTTAAAATTCATAATAATTAACATAACCTTTTCTCTAGAAAATTATAACTTGATATATTTTTAATAATAAGTAACTATTTGTGTTTTTAATAATAAACATGTTATTTTTTTTAATTTAATAAAACAACAACCACATTTTTCTAGAAGGTTTGTTATTGTACTAATAAATAATATTTTCCAATATTATTGGTGTAATTATATTATTACATTTATGGTCGACGGTTATATTAAAAAAGTATTTCATACACTAATGACTTTGTATAGAATATAAAATTATTACTTTTTAATTATTTTAAATCATATAAAATTAAAATCTATAAAAGAAGATTTTATAGAGATACTGAACTAAAATAATAATTTAAATATGCATTTTTAAAATATTTTATACCCCTCATAAATTATTATAAAAAGAAAGTTAGATTTTAATCACACACAATATAAGAAAAACAATTTAATCACATACATATTATATATTAGTGAAAATTATACATTAGTAAAAATACATGCAGAAAGAATACGTGTTCATATTTTATGATAATAAAATTAATTATTATCATAAATAATTTTTATTTATTTTGTAAATATTTTTATAATTAAAAAATTGTTAAATTTAAAAACATAATTAAATAAAATACCTTAATTCAAAGAAATAATCAGTTAAGATCACATAGATATTGATAACCGATTCCTCGACTGCATCACGAATTCTTGATACAGGGGAAGTTGCATTTCACATTACACATAAAAATATCGTAAAATTTTTATCAAGAGAAAACAAAAAAAAAAAAATACTTGTTTGTGTGTTACGAATATTTCACACATAACAAGTATTTTTTAACATATTTATACTTTTGCCATTTCTTTAGGGTGACCCGAGAAAGAATTCCCAAAATGGGTGACAAGAGAAAGAAGCAGCGTCGTCTGCAGGACTCGTCGACCTCCTCATCCTCTTCGTCTTTGTCGGACTCCGACCACTCTTCGCGGCGGCGGCGACGGCGGCGCGAGAAGGAGAGGCGCAGAAAGAGCGGGGAGAAGGAGGAGCGAAGGAGAAAGAGGAGAGACAAAGAGAGGAAAAAGAGGAAGAGGCTCCATGATTCGGATGACTCTTCCAACTCTTCGGAGGATGAAGACGAGCAACCTAGGGTTCTGCCCGAAACTGTGATAACTGAAATGATGAGAGAGTTCCCTAACGTCGGCAACGATTTGAAGCAGGTTTCACTTTAATTTCTCTTCCCATACTTTGCCAATTTCATTGATAGTGTTTTTCTTTAACACTAAAATAGCGTTTTAAATTGAAATCGGTCACAGCATATTGCATATTTCACAATACATGCTTGATTCTTATTGGTCTTGTTGCTGTTTTGGTTGTGTTTAGCTTTTGCAAATGATTGATAACGGACAAGCTGTTGACATAAAGGGTATATCAGAACGATCTTTGGCGAAGCATTTGAAGAAGCTGTTTCTTTCGTTAAACCTCAAGGAGAATGGAGATAGGGTTTTCTTGCTATCTTCTAAAGGTCGCCCAACTTTGGATGTTCTTGGCCCACTCATTCACTCCTACACAATTCCCATAAATGAGCAAGCTGAAGCTTCTGCGCCGGTGGTGCCTGCATCCAATTCAGTTNATTCTCATGACATGGTTCACCCTCTCTACTTGAGCATGAATTATCATTAGAATGTCAGGATGAACTCCAAGACCGAGTTTCTCATATTCATACTTACAACACTTGAAATCACCACTGAGAAATTCCTCCTTTGAACTCTCTTCCATACCTTTGAAACCATAATTACACCCATATACTTTCACATTAAATCACAACATACAACATCAATCATCATATAATATCATAGATACTTCTACACCATTTTAAAAGTCAAAATATAGCTCAAGGTTATCAGAAAAAAAAGATAGAAAGAATAAGAACAGGTTCTAGACTAGTCGCTTAGTGCACCAAACTCGTTGTGCGAAAATAGAAACAATGAGTTTTGCTCACTCACCTCTCGCTTAGCTAGAAGTGTTCTATTCGCTCAGCGGACACTAGCTCGTTGTGCGAAAATAGAAACAATGGGTTCTGCTCACTCACCTTTCGCTCAACGAAACTCTCGCTCAGCTAGAAGTCTTTTGCTTGCTTAATGGGGAGCTTAATCAGTGAGACTGCATAATTCTGCAACATCAAATATGTAGAATTTGCACCCTTCATGACCTATCCTATGCATCTTTTTCTACTTCTAACATCCCTAGATTGTATTCTAGACTCAAATATACCTAAATAAATGTTTATAAACCAACCTAAACACATTCTGAACTCATTGAACACAAGATTTCAAACTAAAATTTATTAAAACCTCACTTTAGAGACTCAAATTGAATTCCACCAATTATGGCTTATTTCAAACAACTTAGGGACTCCGACAAGTCCCAAATGACTTACTAACACCCTCCAAAAAGACCATTTAAGCACAGAACCTATAATTCAAATTCTCACTAGTCCAAACCCCTAAAAACTAGTTCCAAACCAAACTAAGCTCTACTTATCAACCACCAAACACCCTTACATCAGATTTCCTCTATTTAAATGCTTAGACAAGACACAAAATATCTAATAGCTGTCCCCAAATGCCTGAAACCAGTTCACAATCCTTCTCTCACAATTTCACAACCTAAAACCTCATTTTTTTCCATCAAAACACTTTCAAACTTCAACTATAAACTTCATTTTCACCATAACTCAGATTTCAACCCCCAATATACACCCAACAAGTCTCAATCTACCTCATGACAGTACTTAAAAAATAATTCACACTCAAAAGCCTCTATTTCTCAAACTCACTCATGCAAACATCTTCTTTTTAGACTTAAAACTAAAAATGTAACCATTTCTCATCACAACCATTTTGAATTAAGTTTCTAATAACAACACAAATTCATCAAACACCTTCATAATAGTATAACACATCAATATCACACAATTTCAGTTACACTCAACATCATACCATTCAAATTAACAATTAACAAACGTATAAAATACTTAATCATAGTAACTTCTACAAAATCAACAACAATTCATAGAGATATCAAATTATTAATATAATCATAACTAAACCAATAATCCTAACTTCCCTTACCTTACAAGAAACAAATCTAACTCAAAGAATGTTCCGCATATTACTTGAACCGCAAGAAATACCTAGGCAAACCTACGAAACACCAAATTACAAACGGATAAAGTCCTTAGAACTCTAAATGAACAAAGAATGTGTAGGAGAGCCATGATTACACATGCAACAGTACAATATTCCTCTAAAACAAATTTGGGAACGGAAGGAGAAAAAAGAGTTGAAACTTACTTGCTTTATTGCAGAAACTGATCGGATAGAAACGTAGACCTCGTTGCCGTGATCGATTAGGTACCTCCTGATCGTCAAAGAAATGACCTATGAGTTATAACTCTTAGAGAGAAGGTAGAAAACTCTAGAAAATGATTTCTATTATAACAAAACTATTTATAATAAAACCATTTAATATTAAAATAATTGAATTTCACTTTTTTTTTAGATTACTATCACTTCTAAAATAACAATTTTATGATATTCTACATTTAGATTTTGGAATGTAGATATATTTTAAAATTCATAATAATTAACATAACCTTTTCTATAGAAAATTATAACTTGATATATTTTTAATAATAAGTAACTATTTGTGTTTTTAATAATAAACATGTTATTTTTTTTAATTTAATAAAACAACAACCACATTTTTCTAGAAGGTTTGTTATTGTACTAATAAATAATATTTTCCAATATTATTGGTGTAATTATATTATTACATTTATGGTCGACGGTTATATTAAAAAAGTATTTCATACACTAATGACTTTGTATAGAATATAAAATTATTACTTTTTAATTATTTTAAATCATATAAAATTAAAATCTATAAAAGAAGATTTTATAGAGATACTGAACTAAAATAATAATTTAAATATGCATTTTTAAAATATTTTATACCCCTCATAAATTATTATAAAAAGAAAGTTAGATTTTAATCACACACAATATAAGAAAAACAATTTAATCACATACATATTATATATTAGTGAAAATTATACATTAGTAAAAATACATGCAGAAAGAATACGTGTTCATATTTTATGATAATAAAATTAATTATTATCATAAATAATTTTTATTTATTTTGTAAATATTTTTATAATTAAAAAATTGTTAAATTTAAAAACATAATTAAATAAAATACCTTAATTCAAAGAAATAATCAGTTAAGATCACATAGATATTGATAACCGATTCCTCGACTGCATCACGAATTCTTGATACAGGGGAAGTTGCATTTCACATTACACATAAAAATATCGTAAAATTTTTATCAAGAGAAAACAAAAAAAAAAAAATACTTGTTTGTGTGTTACGAATATTTCACACATAACAAGTATTTTTTAACATATTTATACTTTTGCCATTTCTTTAGGGTGACCCGAGAAAGAATTCCCAAAATGGGTGACAAGAGAAAGAAGCAGCGTCGTCTGCAGGACTCGTCGACCTCCTCATCCTCTTCGTCTTTGTCGGACTCCGACCACTCTTCGCGGCGGCGGCGACGGCGGCGCGAGAAGGAGAGGCGCAGAAAGAGCGGGGAGAAGGAGGAGCGAAGGAGAAAGAGGAGAGACAAAGAGAGGAAAAAGAGGAAGAGGCTCCATGATTCGGATGACTCTTCCAACTCTTCGGAGGATGAAGACGAGCAACCTAGGGTTCTGCCCGAAACTGTGATAACTGAAATGATGAGAGAGTTCCCTAACGTCGGCAACGATTTGAAGCAGGTTTCACTTTAATTTCTCTTCCCAAACTTTGCCAATTTCATTGATAGTGTTTTTCTTTAACACTAAAATAGCGTTTTAAATTGAAATCGGTCACAGCATATTGCATATTTCACAATACATGCTTGATTCTTATTGGTCTTGTTGCTGTTTTGGTTGTGTTTAGCTTTTGCAAATGATTGATAACGGACAAGCTGTTGACATAAAGGGTATATCAGAACGATCTTTGGCGAAGCATTTGAAGAAGCTGTTTCTTTCGTTAAACCTCAAGGAGAATGGAGATAGGGTTTTCTTGCTATCTTCTAAAGGTCGCCCAACTTTGGATGTTCTTGGCCCACTCATTCACTCCTACACAATTCCCATAAATGAGCAAGCTGAAGCTTCTGCGCCGGTGGTGCCTGCATCCAATTCAGTTACAGTGGATGCTGGAAATGAAAAGATGGTGGATGACCATGTGATCGCATCACCAGATGATCATTCTGTCGGTCCAAGGAAAAGGTGACAATTCTTTTTGTCATTTTGCTGACTTTATTTATTTATTTCTTTGAAGTTATTGCTTACTTTACTGTGCAGGATGATTGGCCCTGCAATGCCATCAGCTGAATTACTGGCTGCCGCTGCCAAATTAACAGAGGCGCAGACTGAGCTCAGGTGCCAACCCATTTAAGTTGCTTTTGATTCTGTTTCTTGGCTCAATTGAGTCGATTCACATATGATGATGGATGCTTTTTCATGCCAACGACTTTAGAGAGGCCGAATTGGATGATGATAGTGAACTATTTATTGGACCTCCACCACCAGCTATGGTTACTGAAGCAGAATCAGCTAATGAAGCAGAACGTTTTGAAGAGGTACTTAATCCCAGGAGTCATTAATCAGGATTTTTTTCTTTCTTCAAATATTAAAATAAAATACTTGGATTTGATGATTGATGTATGATATATTGGTATTTTACCTATAAGATTGGATTTTATTTAGGGAACATGAGAAATAACTTCTTCAATTTGGCGGCATATGCATTCTACGGTCTCCTCTGGTTATTATGTATTGTAGATTCCTTCAACTAAACTGAACAATCTGTCGTCTGAATCTGACTAGTCATTAACTTTTGCTGTATTTGAACTTCTGGATTAATCTTTAACTGTCTGCTTTGCTATGGGATAAAGATAGCTTGGTTTCCTCTGATCAACGGAGTCTCTAGGGAAGCTCCAGTTGTTTATTCTGAGATTTTTTTGGGGGTGGTGATGGTGGTACTTTGGCTCTTTGAACGTAGGAATCTTTATATTTTTCCATTTAATACTGGTTTGTAAATTTCTATCTTTGTTTTTAAAAGTTTCTATCAGGGGAGAAACTCTTTAATTCTCAGATTACTTGTTACTTTATTTCTGAATTAGATTTTGGATGTTTATTTGTAATTGAATGTTGAGGTACAAGTTCTTGTCTGTTTATTTCTCAGGTGACCAGAATAATGGAAGTTGAGGCTGATAGCCCATATGATGTTCTAGGAGTCAATCATAATATGTCCGATGCAAATGTAAAGAAAAGGTATGTTCTCTTATGTGGTTTTGTAATTGAGCAAAGCAATAACAATTTCTGCTTAATTTTGTGTTTGAATAAATTATTTTAAAAACCAATTCATCTGTGTTGCTCCCCCTCCCTAAACAGAATTAGATAGAAAATGGGTATTGTTGGAATGATTTTTCAGTTCTACTTTGCTGCCTTACTGCTCCAAAGAAGTCATTAAGTTCTTTTGTAAATCATTATGATCCAAATCATTGGATTATCATGTTATAAACAAAATGGACTATAACGGTCTATTCTGAACTCAAAACATAAGCTTGAACTCAAGGCATTCTATATCTATAATGGGAACTAAAAGGGCAATGCCTCTAAAATATATTAAGTTCTATATTCTATGCAATAATAAAAAAATACCCAATCTTTTTCCCATCAGATGACTGCATATGATCGAGATTATTTGGTTGTCTAATGTCATCTTGATTAATGTCGTTTAGGTACTGGAAGATATCACTATTGGTTCATCCAGATAAATGCTCTCATCCGCAAGCCCACCAGGCTTTCATTAAGTTAAATAAAGCTTTCAAAGAGTTACAAGATCCAGAAAAGGTAAGCCTGCTAGAAGGATGGTTTATGATCATAGTTAAGGGTTCTTTATATGCTATATGCTTGAAGCTTTTTCTTTTTTAGACATACACTTGATTAATTGTTTTACCTATATATGGGTTTTCTTTTGCCTTTTTGTTTTATGAGTTGATTGTTTCACTTGAAAGTAAAAAATATTATTTTTTTAAACTTGTACAGAAAATAGATTACAAAGTCCTTTTTCACAGAAAAGATAGTATGTGAATCGGGGAATAGTTATCTATCTACCATTAACTAAAGACAAACCTTCTTGAGTTGGGTAATGGGGACATTATGAGTGGCAGAGTTCTTGGCATTTTGGGTTTATTTTATTTACAAGTGACTTTGATTTGAGTTCAGAGCCTTACCTGTGATTTGAGGGAATTTATTTCCTCTGTTTGGATACAATAACAGGGAAAACACTTGTTTATTTTCAACCAAGAAAAATACTGATAAGCTTTTTTAGCACTTTAAGGACCCTAGATTTGTCAAAATCAAGGTGTTTAAAAAATTCGAGTGTGAAGCAGAGTTGTCAATCAAGGAACTTGAATAGTGAATAATTTAATGTGACATGGCTGAAGTCATTTGAAAAAGCCAAAGTTAGCAATTTCTTGTATTTGACCTACGATATTGCTGACATTCATGTGTTGTGTTGGTAGTGAATAAACAATCATTGGGGGCTGATTAGGTATGATTGGATTATCTTATTCTAAGGTAAATAGTATGTTTTTTGCTGCTTCTTGAGAGAATACATTGAAAAGAGTAATAATATGTCCCCCAAAAGAAGATAGAACAAACAAACTTGACCCCAAGTGAGATGAGTTAGTGGTCTCACATGAAACTTGGTAATAATATAATTTTCAGCACAGGACTTTTGATTTATTTCTTGTATTTTTAACTTTTCCTTTTGTTTTTCCCTATAGAATTTTGTTTGGTTTTGGCATGTATTTTTTTCTCTAGAGAGATGTTTTGTTCTCATGTTCAACATATGATAGATTAGATATTTTTTCAATATATTTGAATTCTTTTTATTAACAAGATGGTGTTGTGTGCTTTTTGTAGCGGAAAGCAATGGATGAGAAAATCAAACTCAAGCAAGAACAAGAGGAATTGAAGGTAATTTGAACTTATTTGTCTCGCTATACTATCAGTGATTGAAGCACTAATATCATCATGTGACTGCAGGCTGAACTTAAAACCATGCGTGAAGCTGCATTGTGGAGAAGATCTCAAGGTGAGTTCCGCAATGCAGACAGGATTGTTGTCTAGTTTGTTCAAGTTACTTTTCTGCATGAACTGCTATAACTATGAGTCATACAAGAAAAGGTGATGGGAAGGGACGTGGAAGAACACAGAGCAAAATGAAAACGTGTTCACTTCATTAGTGCTTAATGGTGGGAATTGCATTTTTTAACATTCATAAAGCATATTATCTTTTTTATGTTAGCCGAAGAAAAATTGTTAATATTTTTGTATTTAAAGTGGAGTAGAGGAGAAAATTTGCAGGTTGTTTCAACTTTTAAGTAATACCTCACGTTCTAGTTTTACTGTACATAATCATTAAAATCATTTCAGAAGCCTCTTTTTATCTTATTTTCTTCTTAATTGCTATGATCTAGCATATTATTGGGAGAAGGAGTTGAAAATAAGACTGATTTATTATTCTCAATCATAAAAAATCATAAAAAATACATTCTGATACCCTTTATTTGTAATAATCTAATTCTCCTAAAAAGGAAAATAGGGAAACTAGGAAAATAAAATAAAATATTATATATCTATTTCTTTTAATTAGGAAGATTCTAAAGATATTGGAATAGAGAAACTCAATCAGAGATAATGTCAATAAACCAAATTGCACACACAAACAATTGTAGCCCAATGAATTGCACACACAAACAAGTATAGCCCAAGAGACTCCTCAGCATCATATGGAGAATAATGGACAACCGTGAACTTGCACCATGAAACTTCAACTTGGACAACAATGGACAAGAGTGAACTAGCACCATGAAATTGACAACAATGGACAAGAGAGATTTCCATTAACAATGGATGATGACTTGCAGCAGCAAACTGCAAGAATGGATGAAGGCCCGTAGTGGTGAATCGCAACAAACTATAGGGACTAGATTGTCATCAATAGTGGCGAACAACAACAAAGCTTCAAGAACTTGATTTCCATGAGTAACATATGGGAGGCTTCAAAGGCTAACAGTCACAAACCTGTAGGGACTTAACCACCCTAAACAACAACAAACCTTCAGGGACTTCACTGCTTGAGTAGCAACAAACCTTCAGGGACTTAATTGCCCTGAACATATGGGAGGCCTTCAGGAAACAATTGTCCTGCAGAGGCTAACAACAACAGACCTGTAGGGACTACACTACCCTACAACGGCTGGAACTTTCTCCTCCTCACAACTGAATGACAGAACGTGAAGGTGGAATAATTGGTGAGAACCAATCCGTACGAGGGACAAATCTAAATCCCATAACTTCGAAAGAGTCAATTCAACGGGCGGTCTCAAAGAACAACTCTTAGTGAGCTATTATAACAAAGCATTGGCATAAACCAAAAACACCAAAGATTAGGACTTATGATGGCATCAAAAGGCCAAAGACAGGTTGGAGGTCCAAAGTTCTCTGTTGGACTACTCCTAAATGGTGATAGTTAACAATGTATCACAAGAAGTATGGGCTAAACTCTAGCTCAAGAAGAAAGTTATCTGCAGGGGCTAGTGTACTTCACGATGCACTCTTAATCTTGACCAAAGAAAATGTGGCAGCTTATTGAGGCGGCAACGACAAACTGCAGAGGTTACAACAACTGACTGCAGTGACGACGACTGACTGCACCGATGGCTGACTGCGTCGGCGTCGACTGTGGTAGCAGCAGAACGAAGCATTGTTGCTTGAGAAACAAAAATGAAGTGAGAACCCATTGGTGATATGGGGAGAACCCTTCGTAATGGAGAAGAAAGAAGATGATGGAAACGGGTCTTGGTCACAGGTGTCGGTGCATTCGGCGACACAAGTGGCGGAGATAACGATAAGAAGGACCAATCAGTGTCGCACAATAAAGGGAAGAAGAACCCATTGGTGGTGACAAAAACCAAAATGCACTAACCAGACGCACCAAACCAGAACACAAAAACGAGAGGGAGGTCTGGCGATGCGGAAGCGTACGACGAGAAGACAGAGATGTTGTTAAGAAAATGAAGATGACAACAATGGCTCTATGGAGGGTCAGAATAGAGAGAGGAAGCTCCGGCGAGACGACCGGCAGCAGTGCAGCTTGATGCCAATGCCGAGAAGGCGGCGCGTGACAAACACGCACTCGAGACCAACTAAAGAAAGGCGGCGTGTGGAGGCGCGTTGAGCGGAGTCTGGTCCTGACTCTGGCGGGGTTGGCCGTCGCTCAAGGAGGCGGTCTAGATCCGTTGGTCATCGAACGAAAGTGCGACGGTGGCCGGCGGTGTCGACGGTGGCCGGCGGTGGCCGGCGGTGGTCGACGGCGGAGAGCAGCAGTGCATAACAGAGAGAACAACAAACAAGAACTCTGTAAATGATTGAAAGCCAGTGAAGATGCCAACTATCGGGCATTAGAGGAGAGGCCCCAATCTTGGCCAAATAACTGCATCGCTTAAAATACCTTTCAGCTACTGGTCTGAAACGGAATGGGTTCGAATCCCATTCCAGATTATGGAAGCACAACTTTGTGTAAGTGTTATCAGAATGACAAACGTGTTGGTAATGCTGGAGAAATGTCAGACCAGGCACTACAAGCCTGATCTAGGCAGAAAAAGACAGAAGTCTAAAAGCTTAGCTGGGGCAATTGTAGCCCAATGAAGCACAAAGGCACAGATTGAAGAAGAGACTTTTAGGGGCCAGCGATGGCCATGGCGGCGGACAGCAAAGACAGCGGAAGTGGATTAGACAAGCTCTGATATCAAGTTGAAAATAAGACTGATTTATTATTTTCAATCATAAAAAATACATTTTGATACCCTCTATTTGTAATAATCTAATTCTCCTAAAAAGAAAAATAGGAAAATAAAATAAAATAAAAGATTATATATCTATTTCTTCTAATTAAGAAGATTCTAAAGATATTATCTCAAATTACAACAAAAGGTAATGTACTGATGCATGCCAATACACCAACATAAAGTGTTATTGCCGGTTAATTTAGTGATATTGTGCTTAATTTGTTGTGTGTGGCATGCACTTTTGCCTCTTGCTGGTACTGAGTAGTTTTGTAACTGTTTAGGTTGTAAAGTTGATCTCTAACCCTTTTGGTTTCATTTTGATCACAGTCAACAGCCCCAACCCACCCACAAATATATTTAAGCTTAACTTGTCTTTCCTGGAAGGAAAAGGCATGTAGATGGTACTATTATTACCTTTGAACTGTTATTTTATTTTTAGGATTTCTTTGGCAGGTATTTCCATGGAGGGTGATGAAGAACTGCTGGCAGAGACAGAGGTTAAAGTGGAGCCTAAAAGGGAAGAGTGGATGACAACACTTCCACCGGAAAGGAAAGTAAGTCCTGTTAATCATTTGATATTTTGGACACTTGTGCTTGAGAAAATGTAATCCATTTATGATATAAAGTAGAGTAACATTGAAATGTGGTTTAATTATGATCGTGATACAATGATATAATATTGAGTCACTTTAGCTCTCTATATGAATGATCTATGATATATTTTCGTTGGGTTTGTAATTTGTAGATACCAGTTAGAAATTGTAAACTTGCTTGGGTTATGTTATATTTGGGTATAGTGTTTATATTTGGTTTTCTGAATTGATTGAGGTTATTGGTAGGTAGCACACGTCTAAAGCCTTGAAATGAATTTCTAAGAATTTAATTGATCTGTAATACCGTTTTCTTTGGGTTATGTAATGCCTAAAGAATTATACCTTGTGTTTAGGATTTTGTTTGAGTAAAACCTCAGTCTGGGCCCATATTTTTTGGCCTACATTTGAAGTAATTCTGGAAATCACTAATCCATTCTGTTGTTAAAAAATATTGATACTATGAAACCACAGTTCATGAATGCTGTTTCTATTTCTGATTAACTTTCCCTTGCTCGACAATGAAATCAATGAACTCTGACTTCTGGTATCCAATGTAGGTCTCGAGTTGAGACCTTAACACAGTCCCTGGTTCCTTGTTCAATTCCTACGTGCTTTACTCTCTTACCCATGATAATTTTACAGCTCTGCCATATTTAACACGTCAAGCTTAACATTATAAATCCCTCAAAGCACCACATATCTATCTACATTAGGAGCCTTCCTGTTTTCTTATGGTCAGTTTGGTTGGGGAGAAATGGGGGATAAAAAGGATAAAAGTAATAAAGGTTTTTTGGTTGAGAGAAAGAGAGGATGTTTTTTAATGGTGGACCCATTGTATTATTTTTCACTTGTTTCTATTTATCTGTCTATCTCGTTTCCATCTCTTCTTTATTTCTCTTCAACTAGACATATTTAGCTTTCACTTTATTTCTTATATAATTCCAAAAATTTGTGTTTTCATTTAATTTATTTATCTTTTCTCTGCCGAAAAAGTCATTAGTAATGGATATAACCATGATTATCTTATTAGAAACAAAGGCTGAGTTCCGGAGGGGGTGAGCTGAACTTTAAAAGATTTTTCAAAATGGATGAACTGTTTTCTTTAAATTATAGATAGACATTTTCAAGAAAGTTGTTAACCTCAAAAGAAATGCCAAGATAATGTTCTTTAACTTTCCATTATAATAAGAACTGATTTTAATTCAAATTTCAATAGGCAAATATAGGGAGAAGAAAAGAAGAGCCAATACTGGTTTTCTCTCACAAGAGCAACATTTGGTTGTCTAATCTTCTTGAATAGACCAATCCACTATCATTCAATGTTTTAAAATAACCTCTCAAGAAAACAAGAATGAAACAACCACACACACATCAAGATCTTAAACTCGGCAAGATCTTTTACAACCTCTCTTATGAAACCCCGATCATAAACACATACATACACGCAAATTTAGTGAAAAGGAACAAAATCACTGAGACAAACTCTTGGAAGTGAAATGAAAAAGAAAGAAGATTCAAAGGATGATCTTCAAGATATCTTTAGTCAATGATCTTTAAACTTTTGGTCTATTTTTCTTTTTCACAACTGTAGAGTTCTCCTTAGGTGTTTGAAAATATTCTGGAACTTCTTCAATTTGATTCAATGAAAATAGCTTGAGATAACTCATATAGCCGATAGAATTGATCCATTACAATGTTCTTCACACCCGAAAAGAACATTTTAATGGATTAATTCGAGTTTTAATCCATTAAAATCAGTAAAGAAAGTGTTTTAAGTTATTTTAATCAATTAAAGCTAGTTTTAATCTATTAAATGGAGAGCATATAAAAGCTCAAGGGGCTTTTAGCGAAATTAATGGATTAAGACAATTTTAATCAATTAAAAAGTTTTGTTTTTTGGGTGATCTTTGCATAACTTATAATATATGATTCCTCTACCTAATTTTTGCATGATCACAGGCAATCAGACCAACTAACATCAAAATTACAACATTAAAAACAAGTTAAACGCCAACTTGTAGCTTTTGAATCTGCAAAATCTGGTTGATATTAATGGAATTACTTAAACTCTGATGTGGGGCATTATCAACCTGGATGAAGTGTGCTTCTGTTTCAACCCACACTATAGCCTACTTTCTTTATTGGTTTTATGAGAATGGTATAATTCTTTTATCATTGAAACCTGTTTTGGTACTCTTTTCGTTAAATTTTATTCTAATTTTCTAAAATATGCTTGAGCTTTAGAGCAATTTATTTAATCAAGAAGAAATCGGTTATTATGCTAAACGTACTTATTTAAATATCTGTGTTTCAGCCTGGTGGTGTGACTATGCAATCAACCAAGTTTAGTAGGGGCCCAAAGGAAGGTAGAGGTGATACTAGTGTTTGGACAGACACCCCTTTGGATAGGGCCCAGAAAGCAAAGATGAAGTATGTATCTTCCATTCTATTCCTGAATGCTTTGGTTGGTTAATTTCTTTTTCCTGCAACCTGCATAGTCCACTCCGTGAAATCGAGAGCCTTACCAAAAAGATATATTTGTATGGCAGTTATTTGGAGGCATACAATGAAGCTACTACACTAGCTTCAAATGATGAGGATAAGAAAAGGGCCAGTGAGGATGCAGACTTGGTGGACAAATACAATAAAGCAAAACGGTCAAAAACATTGGTGCAGAAACATCAAGAAGAGGTGGCTAACAAATCCAAGAAAAAGTCTAAGCAAGTGAAGCAACAGCCAGGGAAGCAAGAGTGGATGGGTGAACATCCATGGAAGCCATGGGACCGTGAAAAGGATCTGACAGCTGGAAGGAAAAGTGTAAATTTTGATTCAGAAAGCATGACTAAGGATTTATCTTCAAGGTTTTCTTCTGGAAACTTTCAGAGGAACTTCCTTTGATTTGACCGAGTTCGCGTTCTGTTTGCTGACCTCTTTTACCTGGACAATAACTGTTTAATGAGCTTCTTTGAGAATCTGTATTTTTCTTTTTCCTGATGGTTAGTTTTCCTGTCATTTTACACTAATATTATTTTGATTTTCTTTTCTTGATCAACTCTATCACAGGCTAACTGATTCTTTTATCTACAAATGCATGCAGTAGCCGCTTGGTGTTGAATACGGTCATGTGCTCTTCTAGGGAGAATTCTAATTATGCAATTGCACCACTGGCGAATATTATCTGAAGGAGTTTGTATAATAAATGGCCCTGTGCGTATTTTTTTAATCCTGTATATTTAATTGTCTATCAAGCATGCTTGTCAGAAGCATCGCTTTTTGTGGCACATGTAGTTATAGCTTCAGAAATAGTGGAGATGGTAGTACGGCATCCGCGGTAAAAGTTTAAGAATTGTTTATATATCTAAGTTACATTAGCAGTGTCATCTTTTCAAAGGAGGGTTTTATCTAGGTTATGTGTGAACTAATAATCTTTTTGGTTCTTTTTTTAGTCATATACTTGAAGCTTTACAATTTTCGTATTTTACTCAATTAGGGGCTTGAGGGATATTTTGAATATGAATATTGGAATGATATAGAAACTCATTTTGATGAAATTCAATTTTTCTATGGATCGAGGTTAAATTTTTGGAAACAAAATTTTCTATTTTACGTAAAATTTTCTATTCTATGTAAAATTTATGCTCCAGTTGATAAACTTTGTGCATAAAAAAAAGGCTGAAATAGGCTAGTTATTTAATTTGCGAGATTTTTAAATAGAAAATATGAATGTGAAAACTTCAAATAAGGTCAAAACTAGTGAGTAGTTATAAAAGTGAATTGAGGAATTAATTTTGAGCAAAGTATTAACGACAAGTCCATAGATTTAGAAAAAAGAGTCAGGGAATAAACCAAACACGTGTTATGTGCATTATTTTGAATGCAGTCTTGGATTATGAATCTCTTTAATTACCAGCTTAATCACTTTCAGTTCTCCTTTACTATTTTAAAAAAAATACTTACCTAAATCTATAAATTATTTATTAAAAAATTTTGACTAGAGCTATCAATTTGGTCCACCAAATTTGGTCTTAACTCATGTTGGTTGGGGAAAAAATTTCATAGTAAAAGTTTTTTATTGAAAAAGTTCACAAGATTAAAAAATATTGTGGATTAAATCTATGAACTTTCTTTTTAAACAAAAAAAAATATTAATTTTTTAAATATATTATTAGACTTTCAATTTATGTTGATTTGTCTCAATTTTTAGTAAGAAAAGATATATGTTTTGATAAAAATACATACATCAATAAAATTTGAGTTCAATTATATAAGGAATTAAAATCATTTTCTATCCAAAATTTAGACAATAAATTATGAATCTTTCACATTTATATAATATTTTATTTTTATATTTTTATCTAATATGAAGTGTATGCAACCCAACCAAGCAAGTAAAAATAGGAGACCTTCGGGGCAACACTAGGAGGCAATGGTCCATAGTTAGGAGAATAATGTTGTTGCATTGAGGCATCCCTGCATATATTGGTCTCCTGTACAAATGTTGTATACCCAATACTGTTCTATCAATCATCCCAACCACATTCATGCTGCTCCAGTGCACCCCTTACTCCACATTTAACAGACCCTCGGATCCAAGTTTTAAGAAGTGCACCAATCCCATCTTGAATGTTCATTCTTTATTTCAATATATTGTTATTATTCTATTTAAATTATTACTAAGTTCATTGTAATTTTATTATTAGAATAAGGTCACTTTCATTATTACAAGCAAAGGAACAATTCATTGAAAAGTTCTGGGAGTGCCAGATTGGCCTTCATATTTACCTCCATTACCATTTTAAAACTAACAACAGTCTTTACCACTTGGTTGTGATGATGTTAGAATTTTGAATAGCTCTTAATATTAAACTTGTAAAACTTAAAAACTAGGTCACATGATACATCAAATCCCATAACCCACAGGTTCAGGATAAAAAAAGTTTAAAGAATAATTTTAATTATATTATTTAAAAAGTAGGTAACATATATAAGGTTTTATAATTTTTCATTTATTAAATAAATGATAAAAATATAAATATGCACAAATTATAATAATATCTAAATTATAACTAACATTGATTGATTGTTTGATATTAATAGAATATTTCACATATATTAATGAAAATGTTAGATTCAGTAAGAATATAAATTTTATGTTTAATTCAATTTTGTAAAATTAAATTGTAATCGAGAGGTTTATATTATTTATATTTAATTGATTTAACTTTTTTTGAATGGATGTGAGATCTCTGCATCATTTTAAAGGTTTCAATAAATTAAATTCATATATTGAAATTGAAATGAAAAGTATTTGAGAGAATTTTGTGTTGTATAAGAAGAGAGGGTTTCATAAAAAACAAAAAGTTAGCTATCTCATTGTGACTGGTGAAAGGTATAGAAAAGAAAAAGTTGGAAGTAAGTCTAAAAATTGATGCGATCATGATTAAGATTACCTAACCTGGGATGATGTCCTTCCATAATCCACTTTTCTTCTTCTCTCACCAAACCTTCTTTTGCTACATATTTCCAATCAAACATGCTACAACTCACTCAATCCAACTTTATTTCTTAACCATTTGTCAAAAACTCAACCCATTTAAAACACAATATTTTCTTTTTCCAAAATGGATTTAAAATATTCACCATCCATACTTCAAGGTGAATTCATGAGTTACAATTTTTTTAAAAAAAAAAAAAAGCTTAATTGACATTAAAATTTATTTTTGTTGTCAGAATTAAAAGAAAAAGAAAGATAATTCTCTTTTCTCTAATTTTTAATTATAAGGTGAGCTAGCTGATCATGATGGTCAGCTTCACGGGTTGAATTCATATTATCATATTTAATTTGAATAACACTAAATTTTGTTCATTCCTATATAAACTGAGTGAAAGTATTATTTTTTGTTACATATAATTCAAAAGTCTTGATATATGTAGAAGTTAAGTAAAACTCAAAATTGGTTCACGACTGAAATCAAATTAAAATAAATGTTAGATACAGTATGTAATTGTCATTACTATAATTCTGTACAAAAAGTACAACACATAAAAGTATAAAACTAGTTATTGAAATGTTAATTTTTGCTATCAATGTAATGGTGCCATTTAAGGTCGGAAAACAATTACTAAGATAAATGTAATAATTAGTTAATGTTGATTATTACTAAACCTATAATATTATATTTTAGTTCTGTCTAAGAATTAAATGTTGCAACAAAGTTTTAACATTGGAAAAAAAAATGTAAATGTTTATATATATATATATATATATATATATATATATATATATATATATATATATATATATATATATAGAAAATAATTCAGATATA